AGGAGATGTGGTGGGGATGGGTCCTGTCGTGCTCTGCCAAGGGTGTCGCGCGGGTGAAGCGCTGCGTAAGCGTGGAGGATTTATCATCTGCTAGACACATCTGGCAGCAGCTGCCTCCTAGCCAGCCCTGCAGCCCGGAGGGATGATTTTTCCTCTACAAACTGCTTCGCTCGCTATTATTCCCCGTATCTGGCAGAAGCCACCTTTAACAGCAGAGGGATGATGCTCGCCATGTGCTGCGCTCGGTGTGCAACCGAGGTGCAAATCCCTACTGTGGCTGGAGGAATGGGTGGGGGGACTGTAAAGCTGATCCCCTGCGCTCGTCTCTGGGGCTGCAGCAGTTCTCTAGCCTGGTCCCACCACACAACTTGGTCCTTCCAGGTGTTGCCTGTGCTTGGGCGGGTAAAACTTGGAGCATGTTGAGCTCATTGGCAGCTTACGGTGTAGCTACAGGCTGAGCTCACCTTTGCAGAGCACAACCATGCTGTACTTTCCTCCCTTGGGCTGTTTCCTCTACTATTCCCACTGTATTTTTTAAATTATTATTTTTTTAAAAAAATTTATTTTCCTAATGTCTTGAGTTTTTGTTTTAATAGCACCGGGTGCATTTTTTTTGGGGGGGACATCATATTGCCCTTCCTGGCAGTGCCCTGCCATGTCCCACAGAAATGAGATGGGTGCAGAACCAAAGTAAAAGGTTCTTTTGGTCTCATGGCCAGCAGAAGGGCAGCATAGGCATGCCCTGAATTCATCAGAGCCTTGACATCTCTGTTAGCCAAAGCTGCTGGAGGCGGGAATGGATGATAATTACCTTTTTTTTTTAATGATTTGCTTTGATTTTCAGCTCCTTAGGAATTTAGAGGGTGGAAATGCAGTCCTGTGTAGATATCTGATCAAAGTTCAAAATACTTCTCTGGCTGCTGGCTGCAAAGGTGCCTTTGGTGAAATTAGTCCTGGGCTGATAGTGATCACCAAGGAGATCTGGGATCTCATTCCCTTTGCACAGTAGCTACTCTAGAGTGACTGTGCAGAAATTGGAGCAGCAGTCCCTTTGTACAGAAGTTCCTGCTAAGAAAGTGCCCTCTTTAGCAAGTTTGTGGGATGTTTTGAGGTAAGAGAAGGGCATTTCCTAACAACTCCTGCATTCCTTTTTGCAGGTCTTGAAAGCCTCTCTTGAAATGAAATGTAAGTGCCATGGAGTTTCTGGGTCATGTTCTATCAAGACCTGTTGGAAAGGCCTTCAAGAGCTGCGAGACATTGCACTGGACCTCAAAAACAAGTATTTGTCAGCCACCAAGGTCGTTCACCGGCCCATGGGCACACGCAAATACCTCGTGCCAAAGGATATTGATATCAGGCCGGTTAAAGAGACAGAGCTGATTTACCTGCAGAGCTCGCCTGATTTCTGCATGAAGAACGAAAAAGTGGGGTCGCACGGGACCCAGGACAGGTGAGGGTTTCTGCAGCGGGTGCTGACTGCGCTCTGAACCCCAAAGAGGGAAGGGGGAGAGGGGAACGTGTATGAATAAGAGACAGATAACCAGGGAGGTAGCACATGTGTGCAGGTGAAGGACATGTCTGACATAGGGTATGGTCTACAGATGTCCAAGCCTAAAGTGGTGGCTGTGGCCAAGGCAGGGCTGCAGACACCTTTTGCATTATACAAATGGGCACAAGATACATTCTGAAGTCCACCAGGGAGCTCACCTCCACAGGAATGATCAAGCAGCTGTTCTTCGCTGTGTTGAGTCCCTCTGAGTCATTTCTTGAAGTCACTACTGATGTGATGAGTTGTTACTCTCCTCTAAGTCATCAAGTATTAACCTAGTTAGGACCAGTGCTCCAGGGCAGCTTTAAAAAAGCTCTGAAAATTACAAATGTGATTTTTTTTTTCCAGATTTTTCTTCCACTGCATTTTAAAAATCCAGGTGTATCGGTACTTGTGTCTCTGCAGAGAAATTTCTTCATCTCTTTACTATTAGTGATTTAAAGTCATCACACCCGACCTCCACTGGGCACAGTGGTGCCTCCTTTCACAGGCACTAGATGTGCCCGTCTCTTCTCATTTGTTTAATTCCCTCCAAGGCAAACCAATTCCGTGTTTCTGCAGGCTGAGCATCTCTAGGTGGGCAGCAGACCCTTCAACAGGCAAATAATTTTGTATTTCCAGGATTTTGCAGAATTTCCAGATTTTTTTGATAGGTTGCTGCAGTGCCTGGTTTTCAAGCTGTCTCGTTAGTTGCTATCTGCTAATTTGGCTTTTCTTCAAATATTTCTCATAACTCTTCTTTGCTCTTTGTGTTACTTGGTGGTGGAGATTCAGACAGTCAAGCTGCAAGGAGCATGTGCCTGCCCTTTTGCTCGGTGTCTTCATCTTAACTCTTCCTGGACATAGTGGTATTTGGACCACTTTGGTTCAGTGGAGAAAAGCTTTTGCTGAAATGGAAATGAAGCAAATAGCCCAAATGCAGAAAAGATACTCTTCAAGTACCTTTAATTCACACAAAATCTTGGTGAAGGCACTGCAGAAGACATCCTTTGACAATGGTCATTTAACCTGTAATTACAACTCTGTAGACAACATATCAGCCTTTACCTGGTGGAGCTGATCAGCAGATGACCACAGTTGAGTGAGACAAGCATGTCCTTTTTGTCCCCTGATATTCTGTGGCAGTTACAGTTTTACATGCTCCATTAGGACCAGAATCAACGGCTGAACTGCTCTAAAATGGCACTTATCTAGCAGCTTTGTGGTGGAAAAACTAGGCTGACATTCATTGCCAGACCAGCAGTGGAGCAGTAATTAGCAAGTGAAGATGTTTATGAGTCACTGAGGACTGTAGGGCAAACCCATATGTTGAAACTGGGTTTTGAAGGAAAATGTCCATTGAGTGAAGGCAATGGTTTTTGTGCATTTGTATGGGTTTTGACAAATTTGAGTCGTAAAAAATAGCTCTTTGTTGTGCCACGCCACTTTGCAATGAAAAAATTGTGGAGGTTGTTTGGAAATTAGTTTTATAGGAACTGTGTGAAATCAACAAGTTGCGTCAAAACCAAACTGGATCCACTACGGCTTTGCCAAGGAAAACATTTCCCATGAGCTGAAATCCTTTCAAGGGGGGAGGGAAGCACTTCTTCTTCTTCATCTAATTTCATCTTACAGCAGATTTTGCCTTTTTATCCCAGCTAGGGATGAAAAATATGTCAAGATCTTGAATGATGCTCTTTTTTCTTCTTCTTCTTCTTCTGAGGATAGGAAAGTATGTATTGCAGGCATCCCTTTATCCCAAGCGGGGCGACAGCTGTGATTGTGAGCCTGCCAGGCGAGGGTCCACGGGAAGTGAGATTGAGCGAGGATTTAGAGGACTGAGATATTAAGGCAGGATGGGATGACTTTCAAAAAGGAACCTGTCAAGAAATGCTCCGTATTCTCGGATCTGCAGAACGGTGATGGCCGTGGGAGGGGAGGAGGATGAGATAGTCCCGTGTTGAGCCCCTCAGGCCAGGTTTTCAGGTCATGAGTAGTTGCACTCGTTTTCATTACAATCCAGCTCGATAAGATGCCTGGTGTCTCAGAATTGGCACATGTATGACAAGCCATAGCAGCTCCTTTTCTGCATTAAATTAGCAGAGAGAATGAGTGGAAAATACACACAAGGTGTTTGCAGATCTGTCCTTTCTTCCTGGGGGCAGCAGGGAAAAGGAGGGGAGCTTCTCAAACCTCCCTCTCCCACGGATGCCTTTTTCCCTTCTCAATTTTTCTCTCAGGGAGAGGACATCTAAATGTATTTTAAATGTGGTGGCTCCGTTCCAGCAGGCTGTGGGGCTGCAGAGATAGCACCTAATGACAAGGATGAGGGAGAGGGAACACAAAAGGGATGCTGTTAGAGATGGCAGGGAAAAATGTGGTTCATGCTTACTCTGCAAAGATGTAAAAATGCTTGCATGGAAACAGCCCAAATAGGTTTTTATATTATAAATCAAGTCCCAGAGGCATCTTAGTGTTTTATCCTTGTGCATGTCAAAATTTTCTGCGGGAGGAATATCCCATTCTTTCCTACTAGGCTAATTTTTAAGGTCTTTTATGGCAAATGCAATCAAAAAGGGATTTTTAGGGGTGGTCCCTCAGTTTGTTTCCTCTCTTTTTCCACCACCTGCCTATTCCCTCGGATATTTTTCTGGCCATGAAGATGGTTGCAGGGATCAGCCCGAAGGGTTTTAAAGTTCAGACTCCTACAACTGCAGTCCAAGAGACTTCGGTCTGGGCATCTCCAGCATCTTTCCAGCCTCACTTTCTGCCCCTGAAAAGGGGCGCAGAGGGGAGGAGACCCCACTAAAAATACAAATTGCTGCCAGAAAAAAAATAAGTTATTTTTGCATCATATGGAGAGAAAGTCTTTTCTCCCCTCCCTCTCCTCCAGGTCTGGTGCTTGCTCAGATCATGCGGGAAGCAGGTTGATGGTTAAGCTGCAACACCTCGAATGTCTTGAGTTTCAGTGTACGCTGCAGGGAACAATCCTGCAGGGGCAGGTGGGTGGAAGGGGTAATCTAATCGGTGACTTCCATCTCTCTAATTACCCCTCGCGTTATGTGGACTTATTGTGCCTTTTTCAGGCAGGGAAGGGAATTTAATAACCTTGTAGTGGAACCACATGAAAATCCACCCAGAAAACCTGCACCCGGTTGCTCAAAAGCCTTTCAGAGCTCTTTGCTGAAAAGGCTTTCAAAGTTTTCATCGGAACAAGACTGAAATGTTTTCTAAGACACCTTGGCCTTTCATAGTTTGTTGAAATTAGAATTGATTTGGAAATCTGCATGCACTTGAGTGCCTTGAGTTGTATCCAGATTTCAAAGTCAAATTTCAGCTGAACCCGAACCTGAGATTTGAAGCCTCTTTGAAGTGCTCCAAATCAGATGAAGGAGACAAGTTTTGCTCCTGCAAAGAGGCTTAATGCAACCACAGCCTTCGTCGACCCCAACCAAACTCTGTGTGCTTATATGCCACCATTACACTTCCATAGCCAATAAAAAACAGTCAGGAGAAAAATCTGAAGGAGCTAGTCTGCAGAGCGGCCAATGGATTGTACAATTTTCAAGAAAACAAGTTAACCACTGGGAGCAAACATGTATGTTCCCATTTCAGAGCTTTCTTGTACAAAAACACAATATATCTCGTCTTTTCACAAGGCGGTCCAGTTTCTCCTGCCTGAAAAATTCCTTATCAGCTTTGAGTAAATGATAAATAATAGTGGATTATAAAATCGACTTTTTTTTGTGTGTGTGAGAAAAGAAGCAAAAGTATTAACCTTCTTTATCAGTAGGGTGCAACGTATCGTATTTCAAAGGCTGGCTAAGGTCCCTTAAGGAATCCAAGGAAAGGGAAATTCTGCCATGCATGGAAAAGCCTCCAGCCCCTGAAGCCTTGCAGAGATAACTGGGCTGTTTATTACTGATCTTTCCCAGAGCGGTCTCAGAGCCAAGCGAAGATGGGAAGGAGCTCCCTTATGCTGCAGAAATCGAGCTGCACTGTTGCACTTTGGCAACGGGAGTGGCCACTCTTTGGTTGCTCTTTGCTCATATATTCGTTCTTTTCTGCTGTATAAAACACCAGTCTACAGCATCACCCAAGGTGTCTTAGGCTGGTGTGTTTTCTCGAAGAGGAGCTTGCATGAAATTAGCTGAGCAGGTGTCTGCTCCTTGGTGGTGACTGCAAAGGCTTGGTGTCTGGTGGTCATCTCTTGGTGGTCACCTCTTGGTGGTCCCAACCCTTTATCAAACATTGCAAAGAAGGGTTGCAGTGGTTTTCAGTGTTCAGTGGCAGCCCTTGACACCACTTGCCACCTCGAAACTGTGCCTTGCATTGCGATCCAGTGGAAGATTCTTCTGCTCACTGCAGGGAGGTTGGACTAGATCACCTTTAAAGGTCCCTTCCAACTTGATGCATTCTATGATTGATTCTACGATTGATTCTATGATTCTGTGATTGATTCTATGATTGTAGGATTCTGTGATTCTATGATTATGTGATTGCTTCTATGATTGATTCTATGATTCTATGATTCTATGATTATGTGACTGATTCTATGATTGATTCTATGATTCTATGATTTATTCTGTAATTCTATAAATATGTGTGCAATGAAATTCCTTAGCAGGAGCACTCACATTTAGATGGGGAAGAGTGGTGGTTATGGACAGACAACAGCCTTTGGTGTTTGTTTTTTGTTACAGCCTCTTTTAATTTCTGCTCCCCAGTGAGGGAATGAGGAACAATCTGATGGACTTCGGCTTTGAGTAGGTTGTTATGTGTGCGATTTAGTAATTTTTGGGACTGTTACCAGATGTGACACCCTTTTTTCAGGGGATCCAACAAATGATGGACAATGGAAAGCAAATAACTCCACAGTGAGTGTCCCAGAAGTTTAAAGTGGGGGAAAATCAGAAAAATAG